GAAGGCTTACAGCCGTACATGTTTGAGCCCTTGCCTCGCAACGCTGCCAGTTCTGTTAGCTCTACGCCTGCTGAAGACACAGACGTCCATCCCCGTGAACACTGAGACAGAACTCAATGGGAAAGGAAATGATTCTTATTTCTTATTTCAAATATTGCGTTTATTAGCTGCGACATTATAGAAATTTTCGAAATTTTGGCAGAATATGGTCTGATAAAGAGTACATTTATATGCATGTTTAAGCCAGAATGATTTGACATTTAAATATGACTTCCCTACGACTTTAAAGCTTGATCAATGCTCATTGTCCCATTTGGATAAAAATAGCAGGAACCTATGAAGTAAAACTGGAAATCATCAGCTTACCTTTGTGTCCTCCCTGCTTCGCCAGCTTGACATAGTCGGAGTCGCTCTCAAATATCCCCACTCGTCTCCCGCTGGTCCTCTCCACCTCTATGCTATCGGTGGCACTCTGGCAGAGACCGGGAATCTGGGAGGTGGGTCCGGTAACGCCGCTGTTAGCAGCGCCTGGCTTTATGCCTGCAAACAACCAAAGCAAACATTTGCTTTAAGGCAATAGAAGGGTTCTCTGATATTCTCATACGATATAAGACGCGAGCTGGGTTTTTTTTTTACTTTTTATATTGCTTTCATAAAAAGATTTGGTTGAATGGTTTTTACAACTTAACATGTTTAATTATGCATGCGTTGAAAGACCTGAGACTGAGAGATGAAATACGTTTTTGTAGAAAAGAAAACAACTCTACGTTTCCAGGGGAAAACATGCCACTAACAAACATTTTAAGAAAATGAGAGAAGACAATAAGGTGAAGTTTTACCAGTCGTACCTCCAGGTTTGGTCCTTCGATGGTTGGGTACAGCAGTGCTCATTTTAACTCAAGATGGAGGAGAACCTGTGGACAAAAGGGGCAACTTTTTAAATCTTCCAACTCTAACAAGTTAGGCTGGACAAAACTAAAATAAATTTTTTTTAACGTAAAAAACCTATAAAGAATTTTAATTAAATCAAGCAACATAGTTTAAATTATAGGATAAAATTATAAAAACTAAAATCAATAACTCCCCCATTAAAACCTAATGTTGATTTTTTACATTTGTTAGAACATTACTCTTTTTTCTTTTTTTACTTGTAAATCAGTTAAGTTCCTGGCTGTG